TAGTACTAAATTTTGTAAATCAGAATTAATTACATTACCTGGTTCTCTCTCCTGCGGTTTACTAGGAGTTCCATCGCTGCCTGAGTTAACAAGCCCGGAACGAGGGTTTTCTATAGTGTTATTATTTGGAGAAGGTGTGGGTGTTGCAACAGGTAACTGGTTAACAAGCACCTCAACAGCTTTGTTGACCTAAGCAGTAATTAATTTCTGCAAAGCTTCATTAACAACTTCAGTATTTTCAAATTGACCATACTCGTTTATTTGAGATCCATCAGGAGTACCCTCACGAGATTGCCGTGGAGAGTCCTGCGGAGTAGGAACTTGAATGTTAATATTTTGTGGGCCTCCCTAACTTTGTTGGTTCTCTTGGTTTCCTGGGGTGTTGTCATTGTTATTCGACATAATTGATGTAACAAGGAAGGTCAAGTGAAAAGAAAATAGATTATTAGATTCCCGGTAACAGAACCAATTTGTTTAACCAAAAAAATAGAATTTCAGTCAAAGTTAGAATTTAGAAGAACGCGGGTTACTAATAATCAAAAGAATATGTAGAAGAAAGTAATTTAGAGTAACCATAGTGTAATCAGGAGAAAAACAAGTGAATCAAAGTATATTCCGATTGTGTCTTGTGTTTACAATTGACCAGATACCTCCCTTTTATAGGTATCTTGAAGATATGCATTTCCTCCAAATCATAACGAATCTATTATGAATAATTAAAGACATTGAATGCTACGTTACACAGTCATTGTAATCAATACAAATTCTCTAACGTATCCAGTATTTAATGCCTGTCGAATTCCGTATCTGCGCTCTTTATTATGGTCAGATCCATTCCTTCTGATAAGTGATTTAAATAGGTACGAGCGTTGAATCCTTCAAATATCCTCCCGTGCCTCTTACTTTGCCTTTGCTCGTTTCTACTACTGCCCGTGCCTCTTGACTAATTATAATTCTTTGACTATTTGACTAGTCCACATGTCTCAACATGTCACTTGCATATATAAATGCAATTTTTCCCAATACAATACTATGGTAAATTGCCGAAGAAAAGCTAAACACCTACCAGGTGCTTCCGTATTGCGACGTCGAAAACGAATAAACAATTTGTTCACGAAATGGTCCCAGCCTGCAAGTTGTTTGTTTCGAAATAACCAATGATACCATTCCAAAGCGTTTCCATCCAAATAGAATGAAGCCTGGGACAATTTATGCTCCGATGAAATATTGTAAAAGGTGAAATACCTCTCTGCCTGAAGAACCCAATTCAAAGGATTCTCACCGCTGAAACGACCCATTACTGGAGCTTGAGATAGGTCCACCATGGTAGATGGAGACAATGAAAGCACCAATGTTATGGATCCAATATCCACAATCAAATACAAAAATAACATATTGATATGATAACAAAGGAATTACACTGAAAAGGAACAATAACTGAGGATAGTAATAAAAAGAAAGGGATGAGAAGACAGAGCCACATAGAGAAATAGACGAGGCAGAGAGAGACCAGAGAGGGGAAGTTTCTAACAATATTCAGCCTACCTATACTATTGTTACCCAACCTTATTTAACCAATTCGCTTAATTGATTTCGGCACTTGGGCCCATCAACCCGGATCCCACACAAAGTTTGCTAGTTTCTTAAACACGTTCTTCATCATGGCCTATTGACTTTTTTTATTCATAACAAAACACCAACTAAATCTTAGAGTTTTTCATACTTTTCATATGCATTTGTCAGTTTCCCACATTCTCGACGAGCATTAGGAGATGTTTAGATTGAGTTTGGAACATCCTGACATTTCAGAATCATACTTTCCTGAAGCAATGTGAGTCAAAAATGTGACCACCTCTGATATGCCGGGGCATTTTGTAGGTTGCTCTTGAACACACATTTCTGCGACTATAAGAGCTTGTTGTAAACCTTTTGCTGGATAGTTGCCTTGAAGCGTTGGATCTGCCATTTCGGAGAATTTCTGATCTTTGATCAACAAACTTGCCTAATATGCAGAATATCAATGTTTACATCAATAACAACATACCCAATAAAATCCTACTGTACATCAGAAAATTAAAAGTTGTACAAATTTGTATAGCAGAAAGCAAGTTGGTTAATTAAAACAATTCGCTCTTAAAGATATGTTGCTCAGATTCTCCAGAAATACAGCTGCACCCGTGTCAAATCATCCAAAAATGCACTACTTTTGGAGGACTCGACACGTGCATTTTTGGAGGATTCGACAGACACTCAACGACATTTTTAAGAGTCCACCATTTAACTAAATGTAGTGGAACTAACTTGAACGATAATTTTAGGAAAAAAGGAAAAATAAGCATCCCATTGAAGTTTTGAGAATTATTATAAGAGCAAAAATATCTTAGCCATTCAACCAGATTGTGCTCATCTCCATCTGTTGAGTTTTCCATTGCTTTTCTCCCTGTAAAGATCTCCAGAAGGACAACTCCAAAGCTGTAAATATCTGATTTTACACTCAACTCACCAGTCATGACATACTCAGGTGCACTATACCCAATCACGCCCTGGAATTTTATGTATACATGGTGTTTGCCTCCTATAGGCCCGAGTTTGGCCAAACTAAACCCAGATAGCTTGGCGTGATATCCCTCATCAAGCAAGATATTATAGCAGTTGATATTACAGTGTATTACAGGTGGCTGTGCTTTATCATGTAAGAATTCCAATCCCTTTGCTACTTCAATAGCAATTTTCATTCTAGTGTCCCAATCAAGTTGTTTCTTACTAGGTGAAGGATCTGCAGAAAAATCAATAATTTTAAAACCATATCTTTATCGAAGTGAAGGGGAGCCTTGGCGTAACTAGTCAAGTTGCTGCCATGTGATCAAAGAGGTTACGGGTTTGAAACATAAAAACAGCCTCTTGTAGAAATGCAGGGTAAGGTTGCGTACAGCAAACCCTTGTGGTCTCACCCTTCCCAGACTCTGTGCATAGCGGGAACTTAGTACACCGGGCTACCTTTTATCTTTATTTGAAGTAGTAATCAAATAAAGTGGTAATTTACCTTGAATATAGTCTTTTAATGATCCTAGTGGCATGTATTTGTAAACCAGAAGTCTATGATCTCTATCAGCAGAGTAGCCAATTATATTTACAATATTAGGATGGTGTAACAGATTTAGCCTCAGCACTTCAACAAGAAATTTCCTGTTGCCATTTTGATCAACCTGCATGATTGCAACAACCTGCACTAAATGAAGGGTCAACATTCAAATCAATGAAGCTTAGGTGCATGGGTATAACCTTGTTCTTAAAAATATTCTTCGCTGGAAAATTACACTATGCAAATAGGGTAAGAACGATTTTTTTGTTATATGTGAGCTATTGAATCCCCTTGACATAAAGAAAAAAGTTCAAGTATTATATTGAAGGGGGTTCAAAAGTTGCATCAGATCATAGGTTTATGTTGGGAATAAACCCCGTAAAAATAATATTCACGAAATTAGTGATAAATGCAGAACACTAAGTTATGGTTAAATCAGCAAGAATAGAAATGCAACAATAATGACACCAAAATTTTACGTGGAAACCCTTCTGAATAAGGGAAAAATCACGGCCAAGAAGAGCAACTGATATAACTATAGCGATGAATTTTACACTGTGTAGTAACGAGTAAAAATAACCCTAAGAACACTACACCCTCAAAAGAAATAAACACTCTTTTGCTTTTTTCACCTCACTACAATATCTCTCACACTTTGTTTTTCTTCACAAACTATTTTCTTATAGTTTATGGAATACCTTGCTCTCTCTCTCTCTTTTCTCTCTTTGTTTGTATGTAGAAATGAGAGCCGAAGCTCTCCTTTTATAGACGGAGCCTTTCTCTCTCACGCCTACTACATTTAACATTTTCCTTCTGCAGCCTACCCTTTTTGAAAATGTAGAAGAAAAATGTTTGCTGCCAATTTTGAATAATCAACAAAAGGAAGAAAGTCTTCCTTAATTGATGGGATGGACCCCACAAATTTCCCCCTCTAGTCCCATTCACCTGAAGGATGTAACACCGGAGATTCTAGTTTGAGCGCATGCCGACGAGTTCTTTGCAAAGCTCGAACTTGTGTATTGGTACCACCTTGGTTAACATATCAGCAGGATTTACACTCGTGTGAATCTTTTTGACCTGAAGTGATCCGTTCTCCACTTGCTCACGAATCCAATGATATCTAACGTCGATGTGTTTTGTTCTCGCATGGTACATGGAGTTTTTGCTTAGGTCTATTGCACTCTGATTGTCGCAATAGACAACATACTCTATCTGTCGCAATCCAAGTTCTTGAAGAAATCTCTTGAGCCATATCATCTCTTTGCCAGCTTCAGTAGCCGCAATATACTCCGCTTCAGTTGTAGAAAGTGCGACGCACTTCTGCAACTTAGTTTTCCATGATATAACTCCCCCTAAAAAAGTAAACAAATATCCAATAGTGGATTTTCTATTATCAACGTCACCTGCCATATTAGAATCTGTATAGCCCTTCAAAATTAGATTTGATCCTCCAAAACATAAGCATTCATGTGAGCTTCCTCTTAGATACATGAGTATCCACTTTACAGCTTCCCAATGCTCTTTTTCTGGATTTTCGAGAAATCTGCTAACAACACCGACTGCATGAGCAATATCTGGTCGAGTGCATACCATTGCATACATCGAACTTCCGACGGCAGAGGCATAAGGAATCTTGGACATTCTCTCTTTTTCCTCTGTTGTTGTAGGACATATCTTCTAGCTCAACTTCAGATGAATAGGAAGGGGTGTGTGAACCAACTTAGCACTTTTCATATTGAAGCACTCCAGTACACATTCTATGTACTTCTTCTGTGACAAGTAAAGCTTCCTTTCATTTCTCGAACGAGTAATTCTCATGCCTAATATCTGCTTAGCATGACCCAAGTCTTTCATTGCAAAAGACTTATTCAACTATTTCTTCAACTCGTCAATCTAGGAAGCGTTTCTGCCCACAATCAACATATCATCCACATATAGCAAAAGGATGATAAAGTCATCATCATAAAATCTTTTTATAAATACACAGTGATCTGAAAAAGTCTTCTTATAGCCTTGCTCCCCCATAACAGATTCAAACTTCTTATACCACTGTCTGGGAGCTTGCTTCAATCCGTATAGACTCTTCTTAAGTTTGCATACAAGATTTTCTTTACTTTTTACCTTGAAGCCCTCAGGTTGTTCCATATAGATATCCTCTTCTAAGTCACCGAGAAGAAAAACAGTCTTCACATCCATCTGCTTAATCTCCAAATCAAGACTAGCAGTCAAACCAAGAACTATCCGAATGAAGGATATTTTCATGACAGGAGAAAATATTTCGTCAAAGTCAATACCTTTCCTTTAACTAAATCCTTTGACAACTAATCTAGCTTTGTATCTGGGCTTCAAACTATGTTCTTCAACTTTAACTTTGAACACCCACTTGTTTTTCAAAGCTCTTATGTCCTCAGGCAATTTCACCAACTCATAAGTATGGTTCTCATGCAGAGATTTCATCTCATCTTGCATGGCTTCAATCCATTGATCCTTGTGCTCATCTTTTATGACCTCCGCATAACATTTAGGTTCTCCCCCATCAGTGAGTAATACATACTTATTGGGTGAATAGAGGGAGGAAGGAGTACGAGGTCTAGAAGATCTCCTGAGTGGAATATCTAACTCGTCTACAACTTCGTGAGTAGGAACATTTACCTCATCAACATTAGCATTGTTATCAACATCACCATCAATATGTTGATCTGGAATATGGTTCTGGGCATCACCATCCTCATTGAGCCCACTAACGTCATCCGCATTTGTATGAGGAACTTGATCAAGATTAACTAAACATTAAAAACTTGGGAATTTTAGCTTCTCCGCTTTGTTAATATCTTCAATGGTTTGATCTTCCATGAAGATAACATCACAGCTTCTCATGACCTTCTTCTCAATTGGATCATATAGCCTGTAACCAAACTCATCAAGGCCATAACCAATAAAGATGCACTGCCTTGTCTTGGTAGTTAATTTTGACCTCTCATCTTTAGGCACATGTACAAAAGCTTTGCAACCAAACACTTTCATGTGGTCATAGGAAACATCCTTGACATACCAAACTTTGTTTGGAATATCACTTTGCAAAGCAACCGCAGGGGATAGAATAATAACATGTGCGGTGGTCAACAAAGCCTCACTCCAAAAGGAATTCGGCAACTTTGCTTCAGAAAGCAAACATCTGACTCTTTCCATCAAGGTCCTGTTCATCCTTTCTGCTAAACCATTAAGCTGAGGAGTCTTACGAGGAGTCTTCTGGTGTCTGATACCCTGTTGCTTGCAGTATTCGTCAAACGGTCCACAATATTCACCACCGTTATCAATACGAATACACTTCAGCTTCTTTCCAGTTTCTCTTTCAACTGAAGCCTGAAACTGCTTAAAGACACCCAACACTTAGTCTGTAGTCTTCAAGATGTAGACCCAAATTTCCTTGAACAATCATCAATAAAGGTAGCAAAATAAAGTGCACCACTGATCATAGGCTAAAAACTCATGTATTAGTCGTTGTAACAACACTTTAATTATTGCATTTTACAAAGGTTTGTGCTTAAATGATAATGAATTGTACTAAATTCATGCTTTATACCTTGCAGGAAGCTAATCCGACTTAAGAATTAACTTTGGGATGAATTTGATTAATTTGGGGCTTTGAAGTCTGAGTAAAAGCTAAATAAATCAAGTCGGGATCGTGTTCGGGGGTCGCAAAGCAAGCCCGGATAGAAAAACAAGAGAAAAAATGAAGCAACGCAGAAAAATACACTGTCGCGGTGCCAATCCATGTACGCGGCGCACGGGGTGTCACACGGGGCGTCGCGGACGTGTAAAAATCGCAGAACTACTCTATTTCGGTCTAAAAAGGGCATAATTGTCAAAACCTCTTCCTACACGATTAAAAAGGGTAAAGCATCCATTATTGACGGACCAGACCTATTTTGAGAGAGAAAAGGAGGAGAAGATACATCTGGGAGGATCAAAAATCAAGAGGAGACAACACTTTGGAGCAAGGACTAAAAGAGTTCTTCTAAACTTTCTTCTAGTATCTATTTATTTTATGTTTAAGACTTATATTATTGATGTTTGTATGATTATGAGTAGCTAAAAACCTAAATATTCTGGGGTTATGGGTGTTAGATGATTATGTTGTTTGAAGCTTAAATTGATGATCGTGAATTTATCGTTAAAGGTTGTTTATTTGATTCTGCTGTTAATTATTTTACTGCGTAGCTAATAGTGAAATACTATTTACTAATCTTGAGTTAAACTTGAAAAAGAAAATTCTTGATTGCATATAGAATCAAATAGAACAAGATCTGAATCCTGGGCATCGGGTGAAAGATTCGCGATTAAGATAGAACTATACTTAATTGCCTTGTTTGGTTGAAAAATAGGAATTGTAAATGCATTTGAGTTAATATTGATGCCATAGAAATATAGGTGTTAATTTAACTTGAATAGGTGCATAAGAATTCGACAGATTCTTATGGATATTATCAACCCTATAATCAATAACCCAGATAATTCAATAAATCATTTTAAACTAAAAGCGTAACATGATCTCTAGCAAGGCCATAACCCTGGACTATCTCTCTTATTAATTGTTAAAAGAAAATTGCATAAGTGGCGTAATAACTTTGTGTGGTATTATTGTTTGATTACTAATTAAATTGTAAATCGGTTATTTAAAGTATTTTGTGATGAATTAGCTTGAATCGATAATTGTTTGAGTTTGCATCAGTTGGTAAGTTAATCACAAGTCCTTGTGGGAACGATACTCTACTTATTACTATATTACTTGAAGATCGCGTACACTTGCGTAAGTGTTTTGGTCGCAACAAGTTTTTGGCGTCGTTGCTGGGGACTTGAAAATTAGCTATTTGACTGAGTTAAGCTTTTATCAGCTATTGGTTTAAGTATTAATTTTCAGTTCACTTTGTTTGTGTCACGTGGGCTCTTCTCTTGAATGCGAAGGGGTAGAAGCACAAGCAATCTCTTCCCTCTTGATCCTGAAATTGAAAGAACACTTCATAGAGCGAGGAAGGAGTTGGAAGCTAGATACAAAACAGAAAGAGAGTTGGACATTTTAGTTCAACCACAACCAACAGTGATGGCATGTAATGGAGGGCGTCAGGTGATAGAAGCTGC